AACTATCCTTTTGAAAGACCTAAAGTAATGCACGAATAAGATGCACATATTCTAAGCATACATATAGGAAAATATAGATTTATTTCATATTTATGATTCACATCTATATATAGGCTATATAGGTGTGACTCCTAATGATACCATGACAATACTTTACATGTGAATATAAGAAATTGAACAATACGAATGAATTTATTTAAAAAAAAGAACACACTTGAGAATTTGACTCAACATTTTAATTCAATACAAAATTTAGCCTTTAAGAAAGAGTTAGACAGATCTTGACATAATGGTGTACAAGTACAGCTGTAAAGTCAGATCAAACAAACCCCGAATTTGGTATGCATGGAAAATGAACAAATACAAATTCTTCCAGTACTTGTGTTTGCACTGTCATTGAACAGAGAAAATGATAATTTGACCTTTGTCTCTAAGAGTAAGTGTAGAATTTTCACAAAAAGACACCATAAAAACTGGTCACAAGAGGGATGTGTTCCCTGACAGCATTACTCTTGAAAGTCTTCATTCTCTGTGTACTAAAACAAACAGCCCGAGCAAACAGAGTACAGCATACTGTCAAGGAACAAAGAAGACGTGTTAGAACAACTGCAATGTAACAACTTATCACTTAAATTGCCCCCATTATGGTTTTTCGGATATATTACCTTACATCTAGTGTGAGATATAGCTGTTTGTGAATGTAAAAGGTGTGCAGAGTTTAAAGAAACCCTTTAAAATACCATAATAGGGGCACTTTAAACTTGATTCATTACATATTACATGGCATACCTTAAATTTGGGGTAGTCATTCATCAAAATTGTGACAATTCCGATGTAAGGCACAAACCTGCCATGGAGGAAGAGTGATCAGGAATGTGGTAACATACGCAAAGCAATGCAGGACATGGAATAGATTGATACTTACATTACTAGATCAGATTTGTTTGTGTAAGGATTTTACTACAGTAAATTAATATTGTACTAATCATCAAGATCTTACCCTCTTGCTCTGCCCACCACATCTTTCTTCTCCAACCAGTGCTGTCCCTGCTTGTAAAGACCTCGGTCATCCACAGAATTATTGTCACCTTTGGTCAAGAACTTGATATCGCCATTTTCCCTGAAATCAGTAGGCATTAGTGTTATTGGAAGGAAAAAAAAACAGTGTGTACAGAAAATCGCAAAAGGGTATACACAGTCTAAAAGTAAAGGTTCTTTATTAGCATTAATGGTTCCCTTAAGAACCTTTAACATTAATGGAACCTTTCCATTGCACAAAAGATTCTTTAGATTATCAAAATGTTCTTTACAATTAAAAAAAAAAAAATCTTTTAAGAACTGTTGACTAAAAAAAAAAAACGGTTTATTTGGGTAACCCACTGTGGAAACCCCGTTTTGGAACCTTTATGTTTAAGAGACAAAAAAAAAAAAGTTACTTTGTATCTAAATAGGCATATGCTAGAGTCTATGATTAGATCATTATTTTTCTAACACGTTATAAGTTCTTCTAAGCCTAATTGATGGAGTGTGTAGCTTTTCCTTTCTTAAACAACCTTGTAGGAAGACACATCATGGCCACATCATGGTCAAGATTCTTCAGGCTCAAACTGTGAAAGAATGGTTGGAAGGGAGGATCAAGAATCATTTTCACACATGAATTGGCACCTCTGAGTCTAGACCTGGAAATAAATCTTGTGATATTTCCATCAAGAGGTGTATAGCAATAATTGGTAGAGCAAGGCACGTTTTAAATCAGAAGTCTTTACCTATGCTCTATTGTTCATTAGTTTTGCCATATTTCACTTATTGTGTAGAAATGTGGGGAAACAATTACATAACAACAGTTCAGCCACTTGTCATTTTACAGAAGAGAGCTTTAAAGATCATTCATGGGGCAGGTTATAGGGAACATACCAATATATTTTTTATGGAGTCCAAATTATTAAAATTGACAGATTTGGTGAATTTACAGACTGTTCAAATTCCATATAGGGCACAGCGTAATGATTTACCTCAAAATGTACAAAAGTTATTTACTCGGAGAGAAGGAGGGTGTGTATTGAGAGGAAAATTAAATTTCATATTACCATTGGTACATAGTAGGAAGAAAAGTTGTGTTTTCATACAAGGGGTGAAACTGTGGAACAACTTAAATGAGAAGCTTAAGGAATATCCAAATATAAAACAATACAGGAAAAGATTTAAAGAAATGATTTTTGAACGTTATAAAAATGACGGAAAATGAGTTGGTTAAGCTAGAAATTTTGTTGCTAGAATATTGTATAAATGGAATATTGTATAAATGTATGAAGATATGTGTGCTTGTGTTTTGGGAAAAAAGTGGATAATACTAAAGGAAGTAAACTAATGTATTAAGAGTTTGAAAGAGGGGGTGGGAATCAATAAGTGATAAACTTCATCCCACTCCTTTTCAAGCAGCGGTGAATTTTTATTTGTTTGATCATCAGTGTTCTTTTCGATTATTGTCTTATGTTGTACACTTTTTCATTGTATGCTTGAAATAAAAAATAAAAAAGGTGCATCATATCTTTGCTCAAGATCTTGTATTGACAATGCATCTATGCAAGAATCCAGCACTCTGTAAAGTATCCTCCAGCACATCCCAAAGACTTTAAATGAATTTAAGCTCTGGACTCAGAACCTGATGAATCTTGACATGGCCATGATGTGTCTTTCTACACGGTTGTTTAAGAAATGAAAAGCTACACACTCCATCAGTTAGGGTTAGAAGAACTGTTGCCAAACATATAACATGCTAGAAACATAATGATTACAGCAACAATGATCTAATCATAGACTCTTAACCATTTGCCATTTTAAATCCAAACAGTGACTGTTTTTTTGGCCAGGCAGTCTTTATACCACATTTATTGTGATCTTATAGGAATACTCACTTTTCATGAATTTTTAGGACTCTGTGTACAATGGGAATTTCTCTTCCTTCGATCCTGAACACAACAATCTCTCCCACTCTGATTGGATCTTCAACACGATTTGTGAGGAAGAGGAGGTCTCCTCTGTGAAATGCAGGCTCCATGCTTCCACTGCAAAAAAATAATAAAATCAACACTTTTATAACACTTCATTGCCCGCCTAGACATACTCATTTTTATTGTGCAAATTTTTAAACATATGACTCAATCAATTTTAAAATCTCCCAGCAGGTTATATATTTTGATACCCACCAAAAATCTGTTAAGAAATTTTAAAATATAAATACATCACACATTCATAAACAGATTTTCAAAATCGAAACATGCAGGTTCAACAAAAAATATTGACCTAAGTCACACAGCAATCAAAAACAACGCATGCATAAAGACAGGTTTCCACCCAATTTTGCCAGTGCATTTCTATGACTTTTCCAGTTGTTTTTGATTAATGCATAAGGATATTGAAAACTCACTTTAAGATTGTGACTTGTTACAACAGTTCAACAAAATGAGCTTTAATGTTTCTGTAAATGAAATTACAATCCAGAAAAAAAGTCCTGGAAGGAACACTGTATCATGTAAAAGGTATCAGACCATTCTGCAAAAATTCTCACCATTTTGTCCATCACAAAAGTCAAAGCATTTGGTATGAGAGTGATGAGCCGACTTCCTACTGATGTCCTTACCTGAGAACAACCACAATTGGGCTTTCACTTCCAGTTACAACCATCAAGCCTTTCCAGATCATCAAGGCTGAAGATACAATCATTCCAAAATTCAGCACCTGATAGTAAAGCTGAAAAACACAATACATGATGCTCAACATCAGCTTTTTCTTTGTCTCCCAGTATGATTAAAAAAGTGAGAGTATGTGTTTTTAGCAAAGATGTTGCAGAATTCAGACGTTTTTAGTCCAGTGGCTTAAAGTGAAAGTATTGTAGTAACTAGTATTCAAATGAAATAGTTAGCAGAGAATAACAGAATAGCAGCTGTTGCAAAAAGCCGACTTCCGTTTATATTCTCCTCTCCATCTGCTTAATAACAGCAATATATGTAAACTCAATCAAACCATCTTTTTTATCTTTGCAACTCGCAATGAATAGCATTAATACGTGTAGACCGTTAAAGCCACTGTCATTCAAGCTGACGTGTAGTAAGAGAAAGCAGTGCAGAGGAAGCTCCGAGCTAACTGGCTAAATAAATACACACCTGACGCTTATTCATTCGCCGAACATCGTCGAGGAAATCTAATGATAACATCTTGTCTGTAAGTTAAATATGTATGGCAAAAGCCAATCAAAAACAATGGCAAAATTATGATTTTGGTGCAAATGTTTCGCCGCCACTGCTGTAGTTAGCGGATGCGCGGCGACTCTTCTGGTTGCGTTACTTCCGGTAAGAAAAACGAGGGGGTGGCAAGTTGAGAGAACGAGGTTGTCGATTCTTTAAAAAACAATTATTTGTAAGATGATCTTATTTAGCTCACATATAACTAAACTAAAATGTAAATATTATGAGTATGATATTTTCATTTTGTACGAGCTCTTGGACAAACGAGTGAACAAAATAAAACATACCCTCCTAGGTCAATGTCTGTATCTTTCCAGAGTTTGTGGAAATGTTCCCTTGCTTTTTTTGTAGTCAATACTAAAAAATAAATAAATAAAAATATATATTCCCTATCCTGAGAAATATTCACTTAGGTAAAGAAGTAGTTTGTCACACTCAGTGTTGGGTTGCAGTTTTGTCTATTGTTCAACTGGTCGAGGTTGAAATGGGATTTAGAAAGTAATTACTAACAAGTAATCCAATACTTTTTAGAGAGTAATTAGTACAGTAATCTAATTACACTGTTGAAGATGTTGTTAGTCACTAGCAACTTTATAGAGTAACTTACACAAAACTGGTCACACTAAAATAATCAACGTTTTAATCTGAAACATTGGTGAAATAACTAAGAAATGACAAAAAACTAGTTATCTTTTAGCTATGGATATCATTTTAAAGGCCCCCAAAACATCAAACCTCTGCCAACAGCACAAACTGTAAAGTTGAGTCTCTGATGTCTTTAATATGTAAATTCTTATTCTTTTTTCCATACAAGCATTTAAAAAAGTGCTAAATTTGATTGTAAGAATGGCTCATTGAATATAAATGAGTAATCTACATGGAATGAATATGAAAATATATTTTCTCTGAGTGCAGATACCTGGGTTTAAGTGAATACCTTTCAGAATAATGTAATCTCCATAGTAGCAAATACTGTTACAGATGTTTAGCTTTGTGATACAAGTACACTACCTAATACATATAAAATAAACATCATCAGACATGCCCTTCCTTCAAGACCAGCACACCATAATCACCACCAACTATTGACCATCAAAGGGGCTTCAACATTTTTGGTGACCCTGAAAACAGCCATAATATTACATGACTGTCCCACTTATGGCTACGATATGTAACATACATAATATTTCCTGCATTGTAATGTACCCAAGACAGATTTGACATGGCACATGAACAAAAACAAACAATTGCTCTGTAAAGAAACATTGAAACACACTGACATGATGCTTTTGCAATTACACAAAAATAAATTATGATTATCCACATACATAGGATGAACAAGCAAACAGTAAAAAGTGACAATTATTTGCATGAATGTAACAGTTAATTTAATCCAAATAATGCAATGAAATTCTGAATGAAACATTATTTAATATATGTGATATATGTGACTTGAGATATAGTATTTGACTGTAAGGCAACATGTTTGCAGTACCACATTTATAAGCTGCATATTCTGCGATCACATGCTTGCAATTAAGTTGATTAGCAGCTTTCCACTGGAGTCCTTTCTTCTATTCAGTCCTTTTCTTCCTCAAATCCACTTGTTTCTGATGCCTGTGTGTTGTTGCTGTCTGTGGGCTCGGTGTGGAGTTTGCATTGCTCCTCCACTGTGGACAGACCAGTCTTTTTTGGCAAAAGAGGTACAGTTTCATCGCTCAAGTCTGTTGAGTTTTCTCGTCCTTTCCCTGTCTCCTCATGCTCCTCTGGTTCTTTGACCTTGTGTACAATGAAGAGGTGTCTGCTGAGAGCTAGCTGAGATGTGAAACAAAGGCCGCAGTGTTGGCACTGGGGTGTGTCGCTATCGGTTCTGTGTTGAGGTATGTGTTCCTGAAACTGGGCCTGGTTTTCAGAGGTAAAGCCACATTTGGCGCAGCGATAAAGTGGCTTAGGCCGCTTGGCAGGGGTGTTGTATGATGTTCCCTCATTTCCTGCAACTCCATGGGCCTCCTCCGCTCTTCTTTTCGGCTTTTGAAAGAGGAAGTATAGTTGTACACGCAGTACTTGAAGAAATGTTTCTATAAAATAAATAAATGAAGTATTTGTGATTACCTGGCCTGTGGGTTTGCCCACCTCCCGAGATGCTGGCTTTGCCATCTGGCTGAAATCTGGGTTCTTGATTCCATGCATCAAGCTGATGTGGTTCTTAAGCATAGAGTGTTTAGTGAAGGATATCCTCTCATTTGTACAGTACCTTCAGAATGCATCAAGAAAGATACAAATCAAGGTTGCACTCCTCATAAGAAAGATTCTAAACATATCTTCATGAAACTTTAATTATACAGCGGTTTTACCAGCATGTGTAAACCTTCTTTTTCCCATCGTGGTCACTGCGAAGGTGTCGTTTAAGACTCAAGGATGAATTAAAGGACCTTTCACATTGTCGACAAGGATGCCTCTTTACAGACTGCAAATAAACATGAACGTTCAAATGTTAGAATCTTGAATCACAAATTGACTCGAGAAAAAAAAAAGGAGTACTAGTCATTCAATCAAATACAAAATCCACACGCACTGTGTAATACACTGCTTAACTTCAAATCGATTATTGAAGGAAAGGATCTCACCCTGCCATGGCTGGTCTTCATGTGATTGACGAAGGTCTCCCTGTCAGGGACCCACAGGAGGCATTCTCCACAGGTCCAACCAGTGTTCTTCATGCTATCTCCAGCACTTGACTTCTGTGCAGCAGAACTCTCTCTTCCCTTCATGCTGGCCTCCTTAACCGGTTTGGTCAACCTTGGTTGGGGGGTTTGTGGTGACAATTTATTAGAGAAAGATATCGTCTCTGTCTTTTTAGGGCTTTTTTCTGCTTCACCTCTGAAAACGCCACCATGAATAGCCTGCAGATGAAAGAGACAATTTATTTCACTTTCTGAATGTGAAAAATTATTTCTATATCTAAATGATATAAATACACAACCACTTTTATTCTGATTGAAATGAGACATCTTTTGTACAGTGACAGTACAATGGCATTTGAAAAAGCAGTGGCAGATTAAACAGTCAAAAATAAATGACCTGCTCTTTCTTTCCTCGATGCAACCACAAAAAACAACACATTTCTCCTTGCACTTTCATTCTGCCCCAGTATTATACTACAAAATCCTTTTTCTATTTATTTTCCGTTTATCCTGCTATCTAAACAGACCACATTAAATAATAGTTGTATATGCTTTCTCTGTGTTGACGGTATGTATTTTAAAGTTACAGCATTTTGTCTAATCTTTTGTAAAGAGTTATTGTAATAGCCAATCCTCGCTCCTACATAAGAACCATGGTGTCACACTGAACCACCATCTGTCATTTGCAAACACCCCCACCTCAAAAGACAGACTCTCATCTTGACTACTACATGCCTCCCAGCATGCAATCAAACTCATGCAGCTTATGAGGAATGCTAAGTCACACCTGACTATAAGTCTCACCGGGTCAAAATTGCATTGTTGAGAGAGAAAACATTATAATTTGCATTCATTATAAACAAGATTTATTATAAACGCCAAGCCTAAATTAATTTATGTAAAGCAAAACTGAAACTATCAGCGTTTGGGAAATGCGCTATACAAATAAACTTTTTCTCATGTACCTCGCTCGTTTAGCATGAATCCAAATGTGTGTGCTTTGCGCATGTTTTCCGACCTTGACACTAATTGGATTATATACAATGCTTTGGATTACGTCGCAGCATTTTGCAGATGATAAAAAAAAAAAAACGCAACATGTATTCTGGAAAATATGGTGTATATATACAGTATTAGGTTTATTTAGACCCCACTTATTTGCATCTGTACAGGAAGTACTTAATTCCTAGCAGATAATGTTCTAAATGGTCTGCTTGCCATCTGGTGAACACAACAGTCTCATAGCAGAACATCTGCTAAATGTCTGAAATGTAAATGTCTTCTGTCATTGACAGAAACTATGTAGAAAATGTGTATGGAATGAAGAACTCACACCTCCTTCCAAACACTGAATAAATTATTCAGTGAAGATTTCCTTCAATAAGCACATTTACATGCATCTATACTCTATATAGTGCCAGTACTCAATACTACCGGCACTGCTGAAAGGTTGGCAGTTGGCACCATTACATTTTTAAAATTTAAATATCGACTTGGTAACGAAGAACCAGTACTTTTGACAACCCTAATACAAACCTTGAAGTGTTGCACCAAAAGTAGTTTCTCTGGGAAGAATGAAGTGCACTCTGGACACTTGAACACGCAAATACGATGATGAAAATGTTGAAACAACAGCTGCTTCCTCTTAAAGACTGTTTCACAGGAACACTTGTAGATCACCCTGCACAGAATAAACCAGAAGTAACGCCTCAACAAAGTTCTAGGAACACTTAGAGAATTATGACAGTATAACAGATCAATAGATGCACTTACTGATGGCTGGGTTCACTGCCGCCATGCTTGTTTTTTACATGCATCAGACAGCCGTCAGAAGTTTTGAAGGCTACAGGACATATAGTGCACTTATAGAAGACCTGACAATGCTTCTCCTCAATGTGACTCTTCAAGAGGGACAGTGACATGAAAAGCATTTCACAATGCAGACACCTGAAGGAAATTGCATTTGAGTGAATCAGAGAGGGAGAGAGAGATGACAACATTAAACAGATTCACAGAATGTCATTGGCCTAGAGGTCACAGTTCAAGGTACTTACGAGTACCCAATTTTACGGGCAAAATGGAGACAATTCTCTTTCACATGCTTCTGGATGTCCGCCGAGCGACTGAGTGCCCCACATTCAGGACAGCAATAAGGGGATTTGTGTGTGTGAATGCGTTGATGGGCCCTGTAGCTGCACTTGTTGGGTAGCAGCATTGAGCAAACCTTGCACATCTGTATTTAAAGAAAGCAAACACAAGGGTCAATGACACAGAAGAGTGTCCATCCATGACGAACGCAAGGAAAAATCTATTAATCTAGTTTCAAACAAGTGCCACATTCTTGATTTTATGGGGTTTTGAAAAAAATCTCATACCATTATCAAATTTGACCATCAAGTAAAAAGTAATAACACGTCTTCCTTACATCTTGAAAACAGGTTTAACCATTCATTTTAACAGTTTAGTATACTTTTTAAAATAAGGTTAAAAAATATTTTTTTTAAATGTCAAACTATAAATTATTAAAACAAGTTTTTGGTGGTCGCACCACATTAAAACTAATCTTGCCTAAAAATGTGAATGATCTGATATTTTAAGGAACTTTTAAAAACACTTGACAGACAGTCATGAGGGTCTGCAGATGTCCTTTCTATGATATAATTTCCTGTTTTATTTTTTTCTGCATATAGGTCAAATCACATGACTTGATTTGTTGGACAAACTTTTTATATATATAATCTAAAATAGAAAGCAGTGAAGCAGTTGTGTTAAAAAAAATCCTTTAAAAAATCCTAATACAATATTATGAAAAAATATTTTTCATAAATTAAAAACATCAAAAGAGGACATCATTTGATTTTACTGTTTTTTTTAAATAAAAATGTATTTTATGACCCATTTAAGAATGTAGTAGTAATAATTTACAGTTTGTTACGCTTTGTGATTCCAGTAGTAATAATAATAATATGACTCACCAGACCTTCAGCCTCCGATGATCTCTGATAATGACCTGCAAGTGCTGTGTAGTCTGACATCTGTTTATTACAGTCCAGACATTTGAATCCATGCCTAATAACTTTGTCGGGATAAAGTGGTAAGACTGCTTGGCCTTTGGATGACTCCGTGGTGTTGCTCCCGCAAGGGATCTGATTCACGGACTGCTTAGGTTTGGTGGGTATCAACATATGGTCAACAGCAATGGGCTTCATGAACAACTGAGTGCACTGCATCACCATACCTTTGTTCTTGTGTTCACGAGCATGTGCCAGGAGAGCACATTTATTGAAAAACACCAATGTTTTGGAGCAGTGCGTGCATGCGACTTCAATATGCACACTCCTCCGGCTGTAATGATAAGAAAGGCTCTTTTCCAGCCCGAACGAGTCTCCGCATTCTAGGCAGCAATAGCCTTGCGGTGGGAGCTTGATATTGGTGCCTGGTGGTGGACTCAGGTCAGGAACATATGTTGGCACTGGGTTTGAGTAATTCAACAGTCTGTTTAAGGTTCCAGCTGCAGTATTTGAGACAACAGCTCGTGTGTTTGGGGATACTTTTTTAACTTGATGCACCAATGGTACAGAACTGCACACCATTGACGATGATAACTGAGAGGGCTCCTGTCTGTTAGTGGAAGACCTTGCTGTAACCGAGGCAGCCACGCTATGTGGGACTAGATTTAGGTTTGCTAAGTGTAATGCCTTTGGAAGGTAGTTTGTATTAGCAGAAGAACCCATCTGAGCAGAAGAAGCCTTCCTTTGCTTGTTTCCACCATGTGTTGTCTTTAAGTTATGACTATTATTTTGGGTTTGAGGTTTCTTTGAGCTCCTTACCAATTTCGGGGTGGATTTGCTCCCCAATAAAGCGTTCTTCGAGGCTTCCTGATTTCCATCTTCAAAAATGACCTCCGAATTGATATCATTTGAATGATACACAGGCAATGTTTTCGAGAAGGCATCTTCAACTGAGGACTGAGATGGCGAAGACCCAAACGGTGACGTGAGATCTTCGGTCTCAGAGTCAGGCAATATGCTTGTGACGGTGCGTTTGATTTCTCCAGATGAGGTTTTGATTGTCTTTATTCTGACTCGTGGGATGGCTGGAGGCGAGCCAGTAGCGACAGCTGGAGATGCTTTGCCACTGCTGTCACTGCATATACTCGTTGGGCTGTCAGGCTGTTTCACGAAACGTTTCACCACTTCCAGAGGACTTCTTGGGCTCCTTGGCGAAATGGGTATTTTTGGACTAATTTTCATGGTCTCTTTTGGGGTAACTGGAAAGTCCCTTGAATTAGTTTGCCCACCAGGATCCTTTTTAGCATTTAGGGCTACTAATGCATCAAGACAAGAGGACAATCTGGAAGAATGAGCTTTGTCGCATGGACGGGAAGAAGGACTAGTCGCCTCAGGGGTTGAATATGCATTTGTTACACAATCTTGGATGCAGTCCCTCTCAGTCACAGAATCATAATTTTTTGATGAGCCATCACACTCGAGATCATCCACACCTTTTGAACCATGATGTCTTTCATTGCACTTGTCTGTCAAGGTGGATGCATCTGGATTTCCATGACTGTCTAAAACAGGAAGAGCCGAAGATTTAAAGAGTGAATTAGACGAGAAGTACAATGTCTTTGCAGATTTTGGACGGTCATTGATTCCATTGCTTTGAATGTCTTCAGATTCCGGGCTAGATATTGGGCTAAATTGAGGCATAGACGCTGATAGAGTAGGAACTTTTTCAGCCTTGTAGAGGGTGGGTATTTTTTCCAAGGAATGTCTTGAACAGTCCCCATTGACAGAAGAGCTATCCAGCCTTGGATAGCTAGAGAGATGTGTCTCCAGTGACCCTGCAGAAGTTTTGAAACCATTTTGTAAAAGCTGCCCCAAATGAGAGCTCTCCTTCTCCACAAGATTTTCATAGGAGTTCTGACGACTGGTGTTCTTTACTATAACACTGACAGCAGGGACATCAGTTGTAGGCACTGGGTGAGGGATCAAAACCGTGGCATCCATACACATCTCTGAGTGCTTCAGGTGTCCCTCTCCCTCATCTTGATTCCCATGAATGGCTTCTTTGGCATCCAGACTGGTCGCATCAGGGATGTCAAAGGCAGCCAAGAGATCATCAAAATCAGGTGTCTTCATATCACCCATGATTGAAGGTTTTCAAAACCTGAAGCAAATACAATATAGAATGAGAATTAAATCAAATGATATGCAGACCACATACAATCAATGTAAAAAAAATTGAATACAACAACTAACAGACATAAAACCACAACTTCATTTATCATCCTAGATCTATAAAATATTCAATTGCAATGATGACTAAATACAAAATAAAGATATAATAGTATTCACCATTTGATACCTGGTTAGTTCATCTCAGCAGTTGTTGGTGTCCATTAGACTTGCTGCTGTGGACTTTCATCTGCATTACACTGACACTTCCAGGAACTTCCATAGTATCGGTCCAGCCAGCTCAAAGACTTGTTTATGGAAACTCTGACTCCTTTCTAAGCAATTTAACATCATACTACTGTGTTTGACATAACCACACTCCTGTTTTTCTTCCAGCCAGTTAAATATTACTCAGTATATTTAGCCTGTCACCATCGCTTAAATTAGTTTATCCTGAAACCTGTCGAATAATTTGTTATAGACCGATAGAACACCTTTTTACAGGCGTTACGTCAATAAAATAACACATTTACACATTTGTACGAGGATGTTGGAGTTAGCTTTAGCTTATATGCTAACTGAAAAAACAAACCTTCGGCAAGCTAACAAACCGTTCACAACATCGCTTACAGTCATATTGGTACTATTTCATTCCTTAACACATGACCTGTCATTTCTACAGTGTTTAATGTTAAGACAGAAGAGAGAAATGAAGAGAGCAAAGCGGTTCGTGTTGACAGAAGCTTTAACGTTAGCTGTGCAGTCGGGTGCGCGCTTCTCTAGCTGCTTGGATCCCAGCTCTGTAAATAACGCAAACCTGCGGTAATACTTCAACAGTCTGCGGGTCTACAGCCAAACAAGCATTTAAAGCAACATTTTTAAATGCCATGCAAATGGATGTGCAAGTCAGCGTAAGGTATGTTTGATTTGTGAGGTTTATAAAAGTGAGTTGTTTACAGTTGCCCGCTGTCTGCTAGCTAACAGCTCTCTCCCCTTCCTGTGTGCTTGAGAACCCCGCTCAACGCCACACACGGGCTGTGGCTCAAATCCTTGTGAGGTGCCTACATAGACAGCATTTGTGGAAAGCCTTTTTTTACAGTCTATGAGGGAAAGGCATTTTTGAACATGCAAAACGCGCCTATGACGCGCAAAAATGCAGTTTATGCGCAACCTCAACTACAATAAAACTACAACTAGCCTATTTCATAAAGAGTGTTTACATGCTCGGGGACAAATTACTGGAAAAAATCGTATTACGTCCATAGACTGTAGCAGCTACGTCTGACCGTGGCACATGGATTTCTTTGTGTTTTTCCTGATCAATTTCTACAGGCTTGGTCATGGAAATTTAGCCAAATTAGCCTAGTGAGCAAATAAGACCCCGATTATTTTACCATTGTGATGTTTTCACTAATTTTTTTTAATTCGTTTGTTTACATTTCTATTCAATATTAGCAATAAAAATAAATGTTAACCTTAAATTTGACATTTTTTAAATTTAGGCAACACATTGTGGTTTTTCTGTCACATAGGTTGATTAGATAAAGTTAAACTAAAACAGACTTTGAAAGGGAGGAAACGTTTTTACTGAAAACTAGGGATGTCAACGATTAATCGATGATCGATTAATTGTCGATAACACGTTTAATCGATAAACCTTATCGATCATCGATTAAGCAGGTTCATGCGCGTGCGTGCTGCTCAACCGCAAAACATGTAAGCGAGCGCGCCGGAGTTATGTTTGGGACTATTTTACACCTTCATCATGACTATAAGTTTGCGTGTGCATTCGCTGCCTTTTGTTTTGTGCAAATGTAAGTTGTAATAGTTTATTTTGTGTGTGCCTATCTATATCTGATTTATCTCATATTGGATGCATTTGGTTAAGAATTGACGCAGCGTGATCTTTAGCGCGCGCAGCTCAAATGGCAATGCACGACTAATAACGACTATTGGGACTGTCATATTATATAACATTATAAAGAGAACAATATTGTAATAAAACATTGTGAATTATTTGGGTTTAGTTGCCGTGTCGTGTTGTTCCAGGAAGAGCGCGTCCACAACATGAGTCATTCTGAATGGCACGTAACTTAGTTCAAGTTCACTTGTGCATTCACGTCATTTTGTGCAGATATTATTTGTAATATTATGTTTATTTTGTATATATCTAATTAATCTCATAGGATGCGTTTCTTTGAGTTAAATAACGTGCTAGCAAAGTGCTCAACGGTTAAGTTATTCATTCAGCGCGCGACGCTCAAGCAGAATGCACGACTAATAACGAGGATTAATTTGGGACTGTCATATTACATAACATGAGAACACTATTTTATTAAATCGGTGTGAATTCATTGGGTTTAGTTGCCGTTTTAAGTGCGTTGTTCCAGGAAGAGCACGCGTCCACAAGTTACACCGCTTAAAGTTACACCGACAAGCGCATCTGAGGCGGCGTTGGTGACACGTTGTATTAGTCGTTATATTTGATTATTAAATATTTAATTTAATTCAGGGCCTGAATTTCGTTTTGGAAAATGGGGGGGGGGGGGGGGGGGGGGGGAATTAGATGATTCTCATGGGGGGGATTTTTTTTTTGAGGGGGAGAAGGGCGGGGGGCATTTTTTCCAAACAAAAATTACATTTATCTTGCCTAAATGTTTGCGCTCATTGAATCTTTACAATGGGGTAATATTGTTGTTAAGAGTTTACACAACACAAGGAAGCTTGATTTAAACTGTTTAATTAAATTGAAAAAAGTAGCACAAATAAATACAATAGAATAAAGATACAAATAAAGACAAATAAAGAGAAAAGTTTTTCAATGGGTCTAACTTCATATAGGCCTGAAACTGAATAAAGTAATCAAATGGAAAATAACACTGGGTAGTATTTTAGTCCTGAATAAATTAAATATATATAGGCTATCCTGATTCCTTTAACTTAAAGCTATATTTTGTTGTTTTGACAACTAAATTAATGAGCTAGTGCACGGATTCTGTGTTCATTATACTGGCATGCGTTTTATGCTTATTAAAAGACAAAACCGACTATGTTTAGAGTATACTCACGAAGACCGAAATTGACACAATTTTGCGCGTTAAAGCAATATAATCCGCGAAAAATAACTTTTGTTACTGGCCAGCTGTTTTTGAGGCGGATTTTCTATGAATGTGCGCATAGAAAATCATCTCAGAGAGCGTGCGAGCACTGATTAGTTTAAAATCGCTTGAATGTTTAAACTGGTAAGACTTAAAAAGACGTGCAAATGGTAAACTTCAGTCACGATGCAGCTGGCCCGATTGTGCAAGTGAATATTCCGTCATGTCCCGACTCCTAAACGCGAGTGTGTATTATCGCCGCAGCGCTTGATGCTTGCCTTGCACAACACATTTTGAGAGAAGAGATAGAAGACGCGGCACGCTGAACACTCACGCTGTTTGTGAAATTGCGCCTGGCAGATAGTTGTTAAAAGAATGATTTGATTTTATAATCTGTGTGGATTACGATTGCGGGAATTTCCTGCATTATAAATGGGAGACCTGTGGGAATTATTAGAATTATGCGCAATACCCGCAATCCCGCGCCGAAATTCGAGCCCTGAAATTTAATTATCAATCACAAAGAAACATTTTACAATCCTACTAGCCCTTTATTTAGATTAAAACCATTCTCATTAATTTGGTGAGGAACATAGCGGTTTGAGCAGCATTTGCAGACGCTGTCATGCTGTTGGCCATATGCACTGCAGCAGACGCATATTGCAGTATTAAGGCTAACGATTAATCGATTAATTGATCGTTAATTTAAACGACGATCGATCATGGGAATTTGTGAAAATTGACATCCCTACTGAAAACATATCTTTCTGAAGAAACTGCCAAGATATAGGTAGGTAGGATTAGGGTTAACTTGTGCTGATAACATACATAATCACTGGAATTATCAAAAACAACACGTAATTTTGATGATAAGTGGGATTGATTGAGCAGTCATATTCGGTACTGATTGAACTGATTTAAGAAATTGTTTCCAAGTTCAATGTTCCATCAATGATACAAATATAGGTCTATTAATTCCCATCAACGTCATGTAACTGGACTCATCTAGTTCACAAGTCCTTAGCTCATCAAATTCCTCCATGACCATTCCAACTATTAAAATATGTAGACTCTACGAAAATTTATAAGCACCTAACCTAACCTTCACTTTTAAAAATACCATTTCTTTTGAAACATTTTCTTAGAGCTTATGCTGGTCTTTTCTCCCACAATAAATACTTATTTTGCAAATACATATATTGACAAAAATTAGTTCAGACCTGGGATCCCTTGCTTGTAAGAATGATAATAAACAATATCAATGTTTATGTGCTTGTCATTGTACAAAAATTAGCAGGCACTTGGCTGATATTAAAGAAATATCATGACTGCTTGCTCCAGCAAAGCACATAAAATGCCTTCATGAATGTCTGTTAATGTGTTTTGTACACATTGGACCTTCAATAAAATGCAGTGATGCACAATTCGGTCTATTAAGCTGCAAGTGTGCGTCATCTTGTGTTAACTGTAAGGAATTAGGCACCATTTAATTTTATGACTGATTTTGAGTTTCCAAGAAAACAGTCATAGATTCCACATATTGTCTGATAGTTGCATTTAATTGATTAATTCTGTAAACTTCATAAGCATTCTATGCTTCAAATGGGAGCTTCAGTCTACTCTCTTGAATGCATTATATACCGCTTTAGGGTCAGAATGGCACTATATTTGACCTGAATTTGAAGTTAAATGGAAATCAAATTGATCTAAAAGCTGCATATATAATCAGTGTACAAAGACAACATCAAAGACTAAAACTTTCAGTCTTCAGGAAACGTCCTATAGACGTATTGCAGATGAGCAAACACTCTAAAATATCTGTCTTCCAGAGGTAAACACGTACATCAAATAGACGTCTCCGTGATGTACGTGTGCTATGCTCATGTTGTTGCCTGTGAGTTTTTATTACTGTATAAATGTTCTGTATTCAGGCATAAAAGTAATTTATATTCTACAATGTGCAACAGTGGCCTCTAGCGTCCAAACTGTCTAAAGCTGGTAGTGTTTGTATGGTTCGTACCGGTTCGTACACCTCACTGCAGTGCTGTCTCTTTTTTTAATGCTTTTTTAAAAAAAAACTGCACATCTATAATTCTGCTATTCTGAGACCAACATCTCCTATGATTATAGATAATTATTGGACCGCCTATAAAAGTTGTGCATTGTGAATCCAAACCAAACTGTATGCTGCTTACATTAAACAGTAGACTTGAGAGTATAGGAAGTCTGAAAATTCTTCATTCTTCAGGTATATATTGTGTTTTGATATTGGTTATCATGTTTTTTTTGTTCATCTTGCTTCAGGCCCGGCGCCTTGGACATCCCAGCTCTATCCCTCCACCCATTAGATCCACAGAGAGATGGACGTCCAGAGAGGAGGAGCTGGATGCCATTGGATGTCACTCTGCAGTGAGCACTTGGCCTGAGTG